CTTGACATGCAAAAAAATACTTAACCCCAAAGAATAATCAATTCCAATAGCTTATATCACCTCACCAATCAGTCACATCAATTTCCCCTCAATTATAGCCCAAGATCCCCAAATTATCATATTAACATCCTCGAGCAAGATCACATTCACAATTGCCCCGGGGGTATAGTCCAGTGGTGCAAAGGATAAAGATGAGGTTATCTCATGTCTTGCTAGCAGCAGCAGTGTGGGGGTTCGATTCCTAAGACATGAAATTAGACTCCTTGTAAGCGCAGTGTATAAGCAACTCTTATTTTCTGGCTCACTGGGACACATCCCACAATTTATCTCCTTCACAAAACTCTAGGGGCGAGACCGTAGAGGCCCTTAAGGTTGGGGTTCAACCTTTACATTCACAACAACGTCGAGAATTGGTGGGGGAGGGGGGGTTCCCACTTCCCAATCCATCCCACAGATTGCTATGATCCATATCTCAAACTATTTTATTTTATTTTTTTTCCTTATTCTATAATCTGAGTATCCAATCCGTATCATCTTCCATCATTATGAAGATTTTATTTGTATATCAAATATATAAACCCTAAATCGAGGATTTGAAATCACGATCTGAAACCATTTTTGGACATATCTGACGTATTACATTCTGCAGTCGGCTCATTCATAAACTGAATGGCAATCCCAACTTGCTGTACAAAATTTGGTTCCACCAAAGAATAAGTAGACAATGAAAGTTTCACCAGCAAACACAAATCCAGCTCGCCATTTATCCATGGGTTCAGTGAGGAACTAGCAAAAGGATTAGAGATCATCATCAAATGGCAACCCCCAAGAAGGCGATTACCTGTGGGTTCCATCAAAACCAACCGGTGAAGTTTCAAAATCACTGGAGATAGTCGAACCACGGAATGAAATTATCTACACTCCTACACATCATATAACCGGCTGTTCCAGCTCCAGGCAAGTGGGGAAAAAATTTAAAATATATATTTGTGTGTGTGTGTACACATGTTATTAATATTGAAGTGGTGTGTAGATCATATGAAAGAATGTTTGGCTTTCTATGTGTGGCTTTCCATGTCAGATACTTGAATTCGATTCTGTAGGGATGAATTCCACCTCCACCACGTGCAAAATCGGGCTCAGTTTACCACAACATCGACACTAACACCTTGAGACAACTCCAACACCACCCTTGCCGCCTCCACTCCGGTTTCTACCAATTGGGGAAGGAGAAACACAATAATATGCCCACAATAGGTTAACCACTAAGGTCACGGTAAAGGGAAGGGAGAGGCCGAGAGAGAGAGACTCACAAAGAGAAGAAAATTTCACTCTATAGAGGCCGAGACAAGAGAGGGATTATATGCCAAGTATAGTGTCCAAATAGGTAAGTTACAATTAGGGTTAAGTGGTGGACCAACAAACGAGGCTCGACTCAATTAAGTGGGCTTCAACAATAATAATATAGCCTTCCAAGGAATGGTGCGGGAACCGTGAGCAATACTATAAAATAGGTTGCTTCGAACGGTCCATAATAAGGTGGATTGTGTTGTCTCGATAATTGTGTCGATGTACTAATCAATCATTAGGTCGAGATCGATTGATAATAAACAACCGAGGTTACATCATCGCCCGGGAAGGTCGTTTGACAACAAAATTGCCTAACAGATTCCCTTCAACACCATTCCTCCTTTTAATTCTTTAATTAAGAGGATATAGCAAAAATGTCCACTTTTCAATAGTTATTTGCAAAAATGTCCTAAATTTTTCTCATGTCCATTTTGACAAAATTTAGACCAAAATATCCTTAGTAACAATCTGAAATTTCATAATTTGTCAAATAGAAATTTGACACATAACCTACACTTCACATTCAAAAAGGTACTAATGTCAATTCATTCATTAAATGCAAATTGAACCGATTGAATTATTATTTAGTTGGGCTTATTGGTTTCATTCATTGTGTACCCATTTACAAGAATTTCATTTCCTCTTTTTCTAGTGGTTTCATTAACTGTGTGCCTCTTCGCAAGAATTCCTATAATCTTTTTCCAATCGTCACAAACCTCTTTACCTTTTTACTAAACCTAATTTTGAAATTTTTGCCGCCAATTAACTAAACGAGCTCTCCAACCGTCGAAAACGCCATTCTCGAACTGTATTAAGCTATTTGCCTCTCTCGACTAACCCTAAATCTGAATCTTTGGTCGCAGATTAACCAAAATGAACTCTCCGACCGCAAAAATCTTCATCATCGGTCTCAAATCCTTCCTTTCTTGGCACGTTTTTTGCTTGTTTCAGTAAGATTTCTATTTAGTTGCCTTTTTATTTATAATTGGATTTTGTTGATGCTATAGATGTCAAGCATTGAGGCTCCAATCTTCGATCTTCACAGTTGAACCAAATGACCTCTCCAACAACCTAAGTCGCCATCGTCAATCTTTAGTTTTTCGCATTTTGCTTGCTACGGTAAGATTTCTGCTGAGCTACCTCTTTATCCCTTATGCGTCGATTAGTTGTATCTATAGTCATCCTTTCATTGTTGGCAAATCCATTTGAGTTTTCATTGTGGAGAATGCTAGCATTTACCTAGCTGTTCTATATAACATGTTCTATTCTTTTGGTTGATTGTTTACGATTTTATAATCGAAAATCTACTTCATTGTGTGAATGAATATGGCATTGTCAACAAAATTTTATGTTTAACATACTTGTCATTATATGGAAAGAAGTTATTCTTGTTGCAATTGAAAACTGAGCATTTTGAGTAATTATTGTTATATTTGGTTCACATATAAAGTTAATTATTGTTGGCTGATCATAGTAAAACCCTTGGAAGGGATTCCGTTGATGGAGTATTTATCGATTTTTCTAAAAATTTGTTTAGATTTGAAATTAAAAGTTAAAAAATAAACAATCTCTTTTGAAAATTACTTTTTCGCTTTATCTTTTGTGTAGATTTGAATTCTGTATTACCTTTCTTGGTTGAATAAAACTAGAATTTCCTAATCATAATGTACCTATAAAATAAAGGCTGTTTGATTAACTTTTAACTTTACTACTCTCATAATCATTAGAAATAATATTATTTCAATAGCCTCATATGACCTATGAGAAATAGGTTTGATGTAAATTTAAGAAATTGTAAGATCAAAACTTTCAATAACTGCATTAAGTGCCATTCATCAATATAACTCTTTGCTTCCTATCTCATATAGCAGTTTTTATTTTTTCACCGCTTCTTCATTGCTGAACCATCACCACTATTACCAAACACACAATTCCATAAAAACTGGCCAACCATAATCTGTGACGCACTACAAAACTGGCAAACGGATCATCCTCAGTGGTTTGTACGTCAAATATGGAATTTTTAGCTTGAATAAGGACCATTCACTAAGTCTCAATCAGACATTCAGTGTCCGATCACCTTTATGTCATTGTTCCAGGGTTGTCTTGTTGGCAATGATTTAAAAAGTTAGAGGGCTTTGAATTTGTTAAAGCATTCTGCAGGGTCTCAACTTGTGGTTGATTTGGGACTAGGAAAATGATAATTGTACTCATGGGTGTGAGAATATCTCCTCACAGTTCTTATGGAGTCTATAAAGAGTTCACATAATTATTTTCTCGCTGAGAATTTTCGAGAATTTTATTTGTTTTGCTTAACATGATTTTCTAATTTTATTGATTACTAGAAGCCTGGAATTTTAGGAATTTGTATTGATTTTTTCCACACTTCGACTGAAAAAAATTCTTATGACACTAGTTATATTCTTTTGAGGAAATTACCAAAAATGTCCATTTTCAATGTCCAAAATTTGTTGTATGTCCATTTTGCAATTATTTGGACGAGAATACACTTATTAGCAATTTTTAATTTCACTCTAGAATTCAAAATTTGAGGAAATTACAAGAAATATCCATTTTCACATGGTCATTTGCAAAAATGTCCAAAAAATTTTCAATGTCCATTTTGCAATAATTTAGACCAAAATATCCTTGTTAGCATTTCTAAGATATTTCATTGGCTGGTGTACCATCATCATGGAGATTAACACTTGGTGTGTCTAAAGGAGATGTCATTACATTTGTTTTCTTTCACGATAGATGTTTTCATCTATTTGTTTCACAATGTGACGTTGCAAGATGTTTATGGTTTAAGCTTGTACTATCCTCTAGATGAAATGTAATTCTATACTTGAATAACAAGTAAATAATCTTTTCTTGTAAAAAAGGATGGTTCTTATTCCTGAAATGTTCCATTGAATGACAGGACCACAATAAAATATAAGTTGAGAAACAGTAGGAAGTGCTCAATTAAGAGATAAGAATCTCTCCAGTATTTTTTTTTTGTTTGTACAGGTTCTCCATATGTTTTTATACCTTTTCTGACCACGTCCATTTTTTCTATTGTTATTTTTTCTCGATTAATTTTACATTATCTATTCCATTGCTCACATTCATCATTTGTATATTGTTTATGAAAATTTCTTTGTGTTTGGTCTGTTTTGCAAAATTTTCAAATTTCTTGTTTGTGAAATATTTGAGTTTCTTATTCAAATAAGGAGCCCGTCTTTTGTTGCAAGTGACTCAAGTTTTTCATATTCAATATGTAAAACGTTCATGTATTTACATATATAAATACATATAATCTCTATATTTAAATACATTATACTGATTTCTTTTGATTTTCTTACACGGTGCAGGCTCTGCTTTTGAATTATTTGTTTAACTGGAAGGGTCCTCCATCACATTAAGAAAAGTAAGTTATCATTTGATTATTCTATTTCATTTCACTCTTCCCCGGATCCATTTTATGGTTTTTGATCTGAATATCGAAGTGTGTTCCCTTTTTTCTTTTTTTTTTCTTTTTTTTGGCTTTTTAGAGCTTTCATGATGAAATATTATGTCTTTGTGATTTCATATATTTATTAGGTTATTTTATGAACCCAGTAGACTCTTATATTATTTTCCATGTTTGTTTGTTGTTCTTCCCAAATGAGTTCCTCCTTACACCGATACAAAATTCCAGAGGAAGAGCGCGTTCCGCCCTGGTTTCGCATGTGAGCAACACCAAATATATATCAGTTGTTCTCAAAAAATTCGATGTGCAATAGAAGATTATGTTTGAGGAAAGCTATTTAGGACATGTCGCGAGTTGCCGGAACTCAAATTATATGGGCAATTAGTTCATGAAATGGTTAAATCAGTCATTTAAGGAAAACGTTTCGAGCCCTGATTCAAGGTAAATGAACGGTTCTCAAGATTTGGAATGCCGAAGTTCACACTAATCATTGGCTTGAAATGTGGTGAATTGCCTAGAGGGTCTACTTCTGACAACATTGTAGAGAAAGCCCAACTACGGGACAAAATGTTTATCAATAGAGAACGGATAATTTGTAATGATCTAGAGAAGGTTTTCCTAAACTGTGGCAACCATAATGATCTTTACAAACTTGGGTTGGCACTAATTATTGAAGGGGTTTTCAATTCGAGAGGCCGAAATATGGGGATTCATACTGAGACTCTTTCCATTGTGGACGACTTAGATTTCTTCAATGCCTACCCATGGGGGATTGTGTGTTTTAAACTTCTCATCAAATCACTGCTCCGTGGATGGGAGAGAAAGGCGGACTTGGCAAAGGTTAACGATTGTGATAAGATATCTTACACGGTGTACAGGTTCTCTCTTACTATTCAGGTATGTCCGTATATTTCATTTACAATCATTGCACTTTGATATTTTTGTCCGTATATGGTAACCACTGTGTGATATGCGTTGCAGTTGTGGGTGTACGAGGCAATCCGGGAGTTGGGAGCAAGGTTAGTGATGACCTTCTAAGGATGTTACAGTGGTCTACCACAAGACAGCCTCAATCGAGAACATATTCAGACTTCTTCGACAAAACACATGTAAGCATTTACATATACAATTGCCCTTACGCTTGTAGCATATACCACAAATTTACTTGACAAGACACTTTTCCTCCCTTTTGCAATTGCACTTGTTGGCAATGCTATCGCCTACCGCTGAAGAAGAATTGCAACCATACTTTGCTAATTTAATTTAATTGGACGATGTTGATGATCCCATTCTCGATAGTCTCATCGTTCAATCAACTGAAATACAAGATTGTCCACCATCTGGCGAACTGATATGCAATGAAGATAATAGTAATCAATCCAACAAATGTAGGAGAGGTAACACAACTCAGATTCGTCTTAGGGATTTCAGTAACGAGGAAGATGCAGAGAAAGAGTCTCCTTCTCACATTTAGCTAAGACTTCTCACATACACTCACTTCCACACTTTTAGCTAAGACTTCTCACATGCACTCACTTCCACACTTTTAGCTAGAGTCTCCTTCTCACATTCACTCCCCATCTACACATTTAGCTAGAGTTCATTCTCACAATCACTCTCCACATGTTTAACTAAAGTCTCATTCTCACATTCATTCTCAAACACCTTTAGTTGGAAAGATTTTTACACATGCAGTTGGAAAAGGTGCTCATTTGGCCGGAAAAGCTAAACAATTCAAGATCAGTATAGGTCGTCCATGGATGGGGTGTAACTATTTATTAATTTCATGCTCATTTTTAGGCAATCGCTGTTATCTTTTTCTCGTCAATATTCCTAAATGGAAATTTCAAATATGCGACTGGAACAATAATGTTCACATACTAGATGTAGTCAAGGCACACGGAAAAGCAACATTCACTAGGTTCAAGCATTATTGTGGTCTTCACTCCTTTTCACCAGACAAAATATAAAGAAACATAGAAACAAACAAATAAAGCAGGAGATTATACCTTATCTCCCATGTACGAACAATGGGTGACCGTTTCAACAGCTTGTTATTTAATATAATATTTAATTTCTCGTATATACTAATTTAAACTAACGTAAGACTATTTCTTCTACAGGCCAAACTATGCAATGTTTGTACTCAAATATATAGAATGCTTCGTTCTAGGGCATCCAATAGAATTAGTTTTATCATATAGGATAATTATATACAGACGGAAGATTGCGGTAGATCTTTGTTATAAAGAATTCTTTCTTCATCCCCATTTGTAATAACTGTAATGAATTATTGTAGTCGATAACCAGGGTAGACTAACTCGAACATGCCTATTTTAATTTAGTTAGGATAAATGTTTGTAGCTTGTATTGGTAGATAGTGAGAAAGTCATAATGGCATGTTTTCTTTGATTACGTGACCGTTGATTAGATTTCACCACCAGCGTCCATATACCATGTTCGTTGCTATATTTTTGTTTTTCTCATACTCGTAGTCTCATTCTAGACAAATGTAATGTCAAGTGTCTATGCAGGCATTCAATGTCGAGAAATACATGTCAAATGTCAAGAAATGTATCAAATGTCGAGAAGTGTCCTGTTTCGGTACAAATTATAATGCTACACGACTGTAATGTTAAGTTTTGATTTGATCCAATCAAAAATGTCGATAACAACTTTCGAAGTGTTGGAACGACATGAAATGTCATGAATTGCATCAATTTTCCTTTGTCATTCAGTATTTTCCTACTTTTTGGACCATACATTTCTCAATAAATATTATTCGAAATATTAACAGTGTAAAGAAATTGAGCGAAATGGAGGCTAATATTGATTGATACGATAAGCACAAGATGTTATGGGGACAACAGCATGTCAATCAAATGTAAATACAAGTGGATGAAGTTGGTGTGAGGACTTTCAATGCATTATGCATACCTCAGTGTCCATTATAGAATAATAGAACTGGCTTCAATATGCAAGCATGGTTCTTTTAACAAAATACTAACGTGAAAAAGTTCTTCCGATCAATAGGTCTTCATCAACTGAACAAACTTCATATATTGATGTCGTCATGAACGTATTCTTGCCTGGCTCTTCAGCAGGTAACCCTATCATCATCAACTCGAAAGAAGACTAAGAAATCAATATTATTGTTCCATATATTCCTCAAGCAACGAATCGTCGTCGTAGGGTTTGCGTTCACCCCATTTTGTTCCCAAATATAATCGACGAATTTGAGCTACTTAAAGTTGGAGTTGGTGATCATAATGTCGATCGTGAGAATGTACCAATGGAAGTCCCACTAGAAGCAGACCAAGCCTTGATGGACAACAATTTTGGGACGATTCCAACTAGAAACAATGACGTGATCATGATAAGCTCGGACGATGACGATGATAGTGTTATGTCTTTTTTGTCAGTTGTGGAGGACATGTAGAAGGTTCGATCATATAACTGAAAGGTCTAAGCATATACAATGACATATGTATTGGTATATAGATAATGGATAATTTTTGTGGTGACGATCAATTTGTGTGTGCAGTTCAAACTTGCACATAGTAATTGTGCCTTTTTCTTGTGACAACTATTTAGTATGGCCAGTACTTGAGAAAATGAATCATGCATGGCGTCCTTTTGTATCTATTATTAAGTTATATATATAATAATGAAGAAATTTACAGTAATGAAGCAATTATTGAACATTTGGAATGGAAATAATAGAAAGCATGTAATGCCTGGTAATCTATTGAATACATAGATAATACATGTTAGCGAATCATTTCATACACAAAATCGAACCCTACCAATTATATTTGAAAAGAAAATGATAGAAAGAATGAAATGTACATAAATTTATTGAACACATGGATAATCCATGTTAGCAAATCATTTCATAGACAAAATACATGTGGTAATTCAAGTGCACGTGTTATTCGACGCTGTCGAGTGCCTACATGTTTTCCTATTGTATCCAAAACCACCATATTGGCCACATTTTTGGATGCTAGTAGGCCATTCAGTTCTTGACCTTTTACTTTGGGCAGGTGGTCGTCCTGATGCTATACGTATATTTGAGGGCAAAATGTTGATGGAACTAATAATATTAGGAACAATCCAATCTAACTCCATTCCAATGGAGTAAAAATGTTCGGTGTACGAAGCTTACCAACACCTGTGGTGTAGTACAAGTCATATAGTAATATACCGTTTGGACAAGTAGCGCGGAATGCATGTGCACATGGAATTTGTCACATCTAAAACTCTCGACATGAACATGTCTTACCTACAAGGTCGACAATATACATTTCTGCACCTGCACCAACCTCAAAAATGAGTTCATCCAAATTTCGTACTTCCGAGGTTGTATTGGCATCAAAAGATTGTCTTAATTTACCCTCCATTTTTATGTCAGGGTAGCATGACAATTGGTAGATATGTTTCTCCACTCGAAGAACCATTGTTTCATCAATGTTATAATGGGGCCAACGAGCTTATAGGGAAATTTCGTTGTCGCCTAAAGATTGAATTCAATGACTCTACAATAATATTAGTCATGATGTTGTACCGATTACCAATAAAAATTTTACTTGACTAGGTAGATGGACCTTTTATGCGAACCTCGTAGCAACGGTGATTACGAAACCCACAACCAGATTGATACGGAACCCAGAAACGTCAATTAATAACCTGATTTTGGATTTAGACCCAATAAAGTGAAACAAGAAACCCAAAGATAACAACTATGCGATGAACCCCTTGCTTTCACAATTGAAGAACCCACAATCTGGTGTTGAATGTCATAAGAATTTCTCCTTGGTAAGTTCAGTTTATTGTCCAATTGGAACAATAATGAAGAAAACAATTATCTCTCAATTATCAAAATGTCAGAAGGTTCCTAATACAATGAAAGATGTAAAGTATTTATACTAGTCTCCTAAAAAAATAACAAAAAATGGAATTAAAGTCTTCTAGTAATGATAGTTTCCAAAAAATAGAATTCTAAACAAAGTAAACAATCTCACGAAAAAGGAAAAAAATGCGTCCTTGTTTTTAACTATGCGACCGCATAGTGTTACTGAATGCTATGCGGTCGCATAGAACACTTGTGTTGCGACTTGAAATTCTCTATTGGTATGCATGCGGTCATATGCCTTGAGCAAATATGAGATCGCATAGTTGTTACTTTGGCCTCCGTATTTTGTTGCTTGTATCACATTGATCCAATTCTTTCCAAGATTATTGGCATCTGATATGCCTCTTCTGTGTCAAGGATGATGAAGTTAGCTAAAAAAAGGAACTCTCTCGCATTGATAAACATGTCTTCAATTACGCCGTAGGGATATTTCAATGATTGGTCGCCAGCCAAAGGATAATAGATGCCACCTTAAGATCTCCTAATCCCAGTTTTCTATAAAGAGGCAAATGAGTTAAGTTAATACTCACTCTTGAATCAATTAAATAATTTATATCATGTAAATTTCTTATGGGGCAAGGTAGAGTGAAACTCCCTGGTCTTGAAGTTTGGGAGGGATCCTGCACTAAATAATTATGCTACATTCTTCAGATAAAGCTATTGTTTCATGCTCGGAAAGCTTCCTCTTCTTATTCAACACCTCATTCAAGAACTTGGAGTAGTTTGGAATATGAAGGATCATGTCAATGAAAGGACATTGACGTGCAGCTTTTTGAGGACTTTTAGGAATTTTGTGAACTACTTCTTCAACTTGGTATTTTTCAACCTTTGAGAAAATGGGACTTGGTGTACAAGTTCTTTGATTGAAACTTTTACCTCAACTTGTGCACTATCCGAAGGTATTTGCTAATCTTTCTTTGTTGATTTTTTAGAATACTCCACTTGGTCTATGTCCTTCATAGATATCTGAGTACTTTCAATCTAGTTTCTCCTTGTAGTAATATCTGGTAGTTGAACCCCAATTCTAATGGTGATGGCCTGAACTCGAGTGTCTGGGATGAATGATGGCGATCTTTAGATTCTAAACTCGCCATCTCAACTACTAGTACTTGATCTGTGGATATTTCTCTGTGTCGCTAAGTAATGTACCGTGTGGTCAATTGGCTATTGTAGCAACTATCTGTCCCACCTAATGTTCCAAATTCTTGATAGAAGCTTGTTGATTTTGGAAATGTGTCTCAATCTTTATGATGTATTGAGATAACAAATCTTCCAGTGACGGCCTTTGCTCTTACTGATGTTGCTGCTAGTGTTGAAACCTTGGTGGTCTATTCAGCTAATTCAGCCCTTCATTATTAGCCCATGAGGAGTTTGGCTGCTTGTTCTAGTCTGGATGGTAATTGTTGGGGGTAGTCCTACTACCTTTGGAAGTCTTGTGCATAACTGACCTCTACTAGTAGACCCATGTGAGAAGAAGCCAAAGAGCAGCTTGCAGTGATGTGATCTACCCCAAAACCTATGTACATTGGAGCTAAAGTTTGTACCATATTCATAGAATGGGTCAAAGTGTCAAGCTTTTATATTATTGCCTCCATTTGTGTTGTGTTACTATGCCAGCATTATGTATACCAGCTATTTTTCTCTAGATTTTTTTGTCCCTCGACCAAATTGATTGATATTCTTATATTCTCTCATACAGCTTAAAAGCATCATCCACATCCATAATCATTATTGATCCTCTTGCTAAAACATCTACCATGTTTTTAAATTATTGGCGTATACCGTAGTAAAGGAGGTATTCTTGTATTTGCTTAGGAAAGTCAAGATTGGGGCACTTCCTAAATAAGTTCTTGTACCTTTCCCAAGCCTCTAAATAACTCTCGAGGTCTTTCTACTAAAATGTGTGAATTTCATTTCGAATTTGATGGACTCAAGATAGCGAGAAGAATTTCGTTGTGAACTTTTAACCATCTCATTTCACGACAAAATGCTCATAGGAAGTAGCATGTGGACCCACTTTCTTGTAGTATCCTTCAAATTGTGAATGAATAATTGCACCAAAATACAATGGCTAACATCCATTCATGACTGATAACTTTGCATAACATAAGAAAAGCTTGTATGTGTTCATATGGATTCTCTGTGGCTTCCTGCAGAACCTAAGT